AACTTTAAAAAGTATATTTCCATTTTCTGTATACTTAAAGAAAAAACAAAACAGAGGTTTGTACCTATGTTGTTTGCTTATTATTTCTTGCCTATATCTTGTAATATGAGAAACTACTTTGGCAGTAACAATACACAATGTACTAATCATTGTTACTCTCCTAAAATCTTGTTTTGAGATTTTGTACCATTGTTTTTATTTTTTTTCTTTAAAATAAAATACCTGATGTAAAAAAAAATTTTAAAAAAGATTACAAGTACAGCCACTCAGGTAATATGGATCCAATGGGATATCACAAGGTGAATACAAGGTGGGACAAAACTATAGCCAACCAATGTACAAATACAGTCACGTAGGTAATACTGATTAAATTGGGATCATTGGGGATAAGAAGTCACATAGCAAGGGAACATGGGCTAAACAAAAACTTTTTAGGAGGGGAGGATCATAGGTCTCAGCCTAACTACGAACAGCTAAATTTTCATGGCCATGATTCAACATGTGGTCATTCTCAATGACCACTTCCTCCTTCTCCAAGCCAGTCCTGGACACAACTTCATTTTACCTTTCCGGCACACACAAGGGAGCCTCCAAGCAGCTCCTTGCATGTCACTAAACCTACCCCTCAAGCTCTGCCCCTAGCAAAAGTCTGTAACATCTCAGCTTCCCTGTCTGTCAGAGGATCTCCCCACCTCCCTTGGATTCTCTCCTTGTTTTTTTTTTTTTTTTTTTTTTTCGGAACCGGGGATCAAACTCAGGCCCTTGCACTTGCCAGGGAAGCGCTTGTTCCACTGAGCCATCTCCCCGGCCCCTCTCCTTGTTCTCTTTATTAAAGGCTTTTTCCATCTTTTTACTTCTGCTTCCCAGCGTTGCCACTGAAAAACCTAACAGTGGGTTTGGGAGGTTTTGGCTCTCCACCGAAGGTGAGGGATGCCTACTTGGTATATCAATCACTGCTATCCATCTCTTGGGGAACTACGTGGGTGTAGTCATTTATCTGAGGTCTAAACTTCAATCTTTATCTTTAATAGAATCACTGGTATTGGCTGGGAAACTCCAGATGCCCTAAGATGAAGTGCCATAGATCACAATGGTGGACCTGGAAGACTGTCTTGAGAACAGACCCCCATTCACCAAGTAAAGATCAGGATGCCAGTTCAACTGGAATTTCAGATAGAGCAGTGAAAAAAGTGTAGCTATCTCCCAGTATTGCATGGGACATACTTGGAAATAATTATAAGATACAATTTTGGTTTTTTAATCTGCTATTCCAAGTTAATTTGCGGTACTGTACTTTAACCTCCACTTTAATCCTCTTTAATTAAGGTTACTTTAATCTAACTTTAAATCTAGAAGCCCTACCCTGGGGGAAAGCCTAGTCCCAAAGCTTGAGTCCACGGTGTCCAGTGTCCACGCGGGTCCTTGACACCTGGGCTTTGTCAGGCGCCTGTATCGATTCCAGAGGAGAAGGACCGCTGGTGCCTTGGTCCCGCCCAGACAGCACTAGCGGCACCCTGAGCCGCCGAACCCCGCCCCACCCCTCGCGTCCCGCCCTGAGCAGAGGGCACAAACGGCCAGAGCCGGGCTGCTGCACGCGGTAGAGTCGCGCTGTTCCCTCGCACGAAGTGTCCTCCCAGAAGCTCGCTATGTCAGCTGCGAAGGTGGGGGGTGTTTTCCACAGAGCCCGGGACAGGACCCTGGACGCGTTTGTCGCAGGTACTGCTGGTCCGCCGCTGGGGTTGGAAACTCCGGAGTTGCGGAACCTTGTGCCGCGGGAACCTGCGGTCGTGGCGCGCGCGGCTACAGCCGGACCCCTTCGCGGGCTGCACTACGCGCGGTTGGGGACCGTGTGGAAGCGAGGCCACCTGGGCTTCAGCTTTTGGGGGGCGCTAGGATGGAGAGCCCAGCGGGGGGAGCCGGCCCACGGTATTCAGGGACCCGGACCTGACTCCTCTGAGAAAACGAAAGTCAGAGAAAAACAGCAAAGCGGAGTCCCCTGCGCTTGGACCCGGGTCCCAGCCTGCCCTGGCAGTGCCTCCGCGTCCTCAGCGGCGCAGTGGGAGTCCGCGAGCTTATGGGGGACCCCGGGTGAGCGCTGGGTGCAGGTCAGAAGCTGCTGTCACGGGGGGGGGGGGGTCTTTCACCAGAATGCATTTTATACGACTCACGGCTGAGTCGCTCCCTGAAATGTTAACGGCAGCCAACAGCACCGGGGAAGCATTCTAGAGTTGTGGCCGAGCTGAATGCACGGGCGTTGGATTTAGATAGTCTGCCACACGGTAAAGACGAGTTTGATGATGACAATGAAGCGATGAGGAGAGGAGATTTTAAGTGTTCACCAACTGCACACACAAAAATGACGATGGGTGGTAACATGCCTTAGGTTTCGTCACTACAATATAGGCATATATCAAAACATCAGTTGTATTCCATTCCATTTTACTTGTTAACTTAAAAATAATGTTTTTACTGTAAAGCGAAAATGATAAAAGCATTAGAAGCAATACAGAATTTCAAAAAATAAGATGATAGAAATCAGCAGTGGTTGTTACATGGCATAATGTTTCCACATTCAGATTACCAGATATAAGCATGCAAAATTCGTCAAAAAATTAAGCGTCAATTGTTCCTTTCAATAAACCAAAAAAATTAGTAAAATTTCTTCGCTTTTTTTTTTTTTTTTGGTATTTTTTAGGGAAGCGTCTACAGGGTATTCAGGGTCACACTACTAGACTCGTGGTGATCAGCCTGTTCACAGCCTCCCAAGAGCTGGGATTACAGGCGCATGCCACCACACCCAGTCTCAGTTGCCATCTCAGTGGGTTCCCGGGGGCGGGGCCTGAACGGCAGGCCTGGGGATCCAACCACTGGCCTCTGTGCCTGCTTGAAGGGGTTGTAATCCGCTGAGTTTTAATCCTACTGAGCTATTTGGCTGGCTCTTCTTCGCTGTCGTGTGTGTGTGTGTGTGTGTGTGTGTGTGTGTGTGTGTGTAAATATATTTTCATTTCTTTCATTTCTACTTTCCTTGCCTCATAGGATGGCTGGGAGTGTTACCGGATTGCAAGTATTTCTACCACCCATTGTTGGACATACCCTAAATGTTAAATGAGTACAGCATTAGTTCAAGTGGCAGGGTTCTGGTGGTGCATGCCCACCCCCAATTTTTTCGTTTTTTTTTTTTTTTTTTAATTTTAAAAAAGGGCCTACAGGATGTTCAGGATCTCACTATTAGATTGGACTCATGATCCACCTGTTTACAGCCTCCCAAGAGCTGGAATTACAGGCGTGTTGCCACCACACCCAGTCTTAATCTCTGTCTCAGAGCATGCTCCAGGGGCAGGGCCTACTGATGCTTTAATCCACTGAGCTGTTTGCTCTTAGTTTTGTTTTTGTTTTTTTGCAGTACCAGGGATTGAACTCAAGATCTTCAGTTTGCCAGGCAGGCACTTGCACCTCTGAGCTACATCCCTGGCCCTGCTGAGCTATTTGGCTGGCCCAATTTTTCGTTTTGTTTTCGCCCTGGAATCAAATTTCCCAGGAACTCACCAACTCTGTAACTGAAGGGAAGTCTCCCCAAGATGCTCAGCCTGATCCTGCGTATCCCACCATTTGCTTCATGCTTGCCACTCTCCTTGTCCAGTTTACCTGCCTCACTGGTTTTCTTGAACTATACATACAAGGGACAAGCCTTTTTCTCCTGAGAATCTTGGTAGCTGCTCTTTGCTCCTGCAGTTACTGGTAGGTTTGGTGAGCCTGGCTCTTTGACACACTGCATTTTAAAGTTCATTCATTTTTGCAGGGAGTTTTTGCCTGGCTACCACATTTGAAGTAGGTTTCTCATGTAAGTCTATTAGAATCTTACCCTTTTTGCCGTTTGCAACTCTTGGTGGAAGAGTGGCAAGATTCTGGAAGATTGTGAGTGACCAGAAATCCCTGGTGATGTTGGGAAATATTGTCTTGCCATTTCCTTTGTGTGTTAATACAGCTTGACTTTTTTTTTTTCTTTTTACCCAACATGATTTTATTTTGAAATTTATCTGCAATAATATAGTTTCACTTCATGTTTATGCTGGGCAATATTCATTGTGTGAATATATACACTGTACATTCTGTTGATGAATATGCTAAATATCTTTAAGTTTGCTTCACCCTTTGCCTCTCCAAATCTCTCTCCTGGGCCAGGGAGACAGCTCAGTGACACAAGCACCTGCCTGGCAAGCACAAGGGTCCTGAGTTTGAGTCCTGGTACTAGGAAAAAAAAAATCTAGCTCAAACCCCTTTCCCATGGTGTTCCAAGAAGATTGACCCCTGTGGGCTACTTCAGCGGACTCCTTGCCCTTCTGTTTAGCCAGTGGGAAGGCTTGACTGGAGGTCAGAAGGAGGAGAAAGCAAAAGCCAGCCTATTTATTCCTGTGCTTTACTTTCTGAGATTTACTGTGAGCTGGTTGTACTCCTCTCCCTGGAAGGGTACAGCTTCTGTTAAGACATACTTTTCCTTCAGATTTTTTCTGCAAATTTGGGTAACCATTGTCTTCTTCCCTCCATGCAGGTGTGAGTGATAGCAGCTCTGCTCTTCTGCCTTTGGGCTGCCAAAAGCCTATCCCTTGTGGTTTTCCTACAGTCCATCCTATACAACCCCCTTAAATAAGCCCTCTTTTAATCTTGAGTATGTGAGCCATTTCCTGCTTGGGTCCTAACTGATATAGTGCCCATTTAGTTGTTTTTCGTTCTAGTTTTCTTTTTCCTTTTTCTTTTTGGTACTGGGAATGGAACTCAGGACCTTGTATTTGCCAGGCAGGTACTCTATCTCCCCAGCCCAACTTTCTTTTCCTTTATTTCCTTTTTCTTATTTTTTTTTTCAACTCTTGTTTTTACTCTTGTTTTCACTCTTGTTAACAGTTCCTAACAAGAATGTTAAGAACATTCTTGTACAGGTCTTTCTGTGGACATGTTGGAGAATTTATCTAGGGGATGTATATATCCAGGAGTAAAGTTATGAGTTATGGGGTATAATTATCCCCAGCTTTACTAGATAATTGTCAAATTACCTTCAAAGGTTGTACCAGTTATCCTCTACCAGCAGTGCAAAAAAGCTCCTGGTTACTTTGTCGCATCTCTTTTCATTTTGAGAAATATGATACTTCTATTGCAGTCTGCAGTATCTTGTGAAGAGAAGAAAGTGGGAGAGGGTGTGGCAAGTTACAAGACCTCAGGCTCAAAATCTTTGCGCAGAGTCATTGCACAAAAAATAAATTTTAGCAGCTGATGGGCACTGATGGCCACTGCAGTGGAAGGAGTTAGGATGTTAGCTATATTGGTTCTCAATTATGGTTGGGCTGAGGGCATGGGTGCCTTCACAGAGAAGGGAGTAAGAGATGGGGCAAGTTACAGATTACTAAGAATTCAAAGGAATTGCTAAGGGCATAGTGCATCATGCAGCCTTATGTATGTCTGTTCAGGGATAAGCAGGCACACTGAAGGGCTTAGAGCAGAAATAGCCTGAAATTCTGAAAGATAAAACCAGGTTTTGGTACCTAAGCCAAGCAGGAAGACATGGGGTGGAACCCAGCATCAGACATCACAGAGGTCTAGGTGAATGTATACTCAACTGATGACTTTGATAGGTGTTCCTAGAAGTACCTAAGGCCAGTCCAGGCTCTGTGGGAAGCTCGAGCTGGTAAATTGCCTCTAGACAAACTTGGAAGAAAAAGAAAAAGAATTAGTTTTTCCCAGTGTCTCACCAAAACTCATGCTGCCTGTCAAAGAAGTTCAGTTGAGTCAAACAGTTGTCCTAAAATCACAGCTCTGCTGACCTTGCCTTACACTGCAAAAAACTCCCTCCAGAATTAGCCACCTCATTTCTCAAGTAAACTCTGTCCGCTGAATGAAAGAGCACTGAGCTCTATGACCATTTCTCACCAGGAGTGATTCACCCAGGTGACAGTGTTCCATCAGCTGCCAGTAGTGGAACATATGAGGTACAGTTTCAGTTACCTAGGCTCTGCCAGTGGTTGTTGACTGGAAGTAAACTGTGCACATCTCACCTGCACTCACATCCCTAAGCCATGTTAAGATGTTCGTTTTAATTAGGCAGATCGATAATTACATTTCCTTGACATGAATCCTAATTAGGACTGTTTTCTCCTAGTAACTACCTTTTGAGAGGTTTATCACATCTGTTCTGAACAAATAATGAAATAGAAATATAAAGATAAAAATGTTTTTAGAATACATTTGTAGGTTTTTTTTTTTTTTTGTTGGAACCGGGGATTGAACTCAGGTCCTTGTGCTTGCCAGGCAAATGCTTATTCTACTGAGCCATCTCCCGGCCCCTGTAGGGTTTTTTTTTTTTTTAGTTCATTTTACTATTGCAATATTTTCTTCTTCAGCAAACCACTCTTGGATGTTTTTCTTAAAATGATTATTTTTATGGGTATTTTCAACCCCTGCATGTGATTCAGAAGAGCCGATTCCATTTGCTAATCCTAAGTATATTTTGCTCTTCTCTGGAAACTGTCTCACACTGAAAGAATAAAGAGATTCTCAGTAATCTGTAACTTGCTGCATTTCTTGCAAACCTTACTGTAGATTTTTTTTTTTTTTTTTAGAAGTACGAAACCTGTAAATACTTATCCAGGATGGAGCCCGGATTATAACAGGACAGTTAAGAAAAAGTGAATGCTTCAATTGTGCCTTAAATTTAGCCCTAGTAATTA